ATATATACACACACATACACATACACATACACACATAGCATTTCAGGTTTTGGTTGAGTGGACGTCATGTTTACAGCTTGTTCTGCCCCCAAACTGAAATACATACAAATCAATGCTTAAAAATAACAGCGTCAACAGCAGACAAACACATTTCTATACATGTGTCTGTATACTTTATCTTAACATCCAAACGGCATTCTTCTGCAGTGGAACTTATTCTTTAGAAAGGTGGAAACAGGAGGTGGTTAGTGGTGATCGTATAGATGTAGAAAACACCAATGAACAGACATGAAGAACCCAACACAGCTCCGGTGATGTGGGATAGCAGGGTGGGGGGGGTTATCCATTACTGCTGTGTGAAACCCTCTTGCCTCGGAGAACGGCGTGTTATGAAAGATGCTGTAATGCATTTGTTGCGCGTTACATCACCTAATTCTGACTCACAATGAGATTACGCTGGTCGGAACAAAGCCTGATAAGTAACCTTGTCTGAGACGCAGAAGTGGAGCACAAATCCTTTTAGTCGGCGGGGGAAGGATCGGGTTCATGCCGGCCTCGGCCCGCGGAAGTGACGGACGTCTGTCATTACTTATTATTCCGGCGTGCTCTCAGCAGGCCGACGGGGGAGCGATACACCGACGACACACTCACGAAGTTCTCCGTACGTAGTAAGCTTCAGCAGGTAGAACATGAACATGATATCCACGACTCTAATGGTGGCTTACTCAAGCTTCAAGAGACAATCAGCAATCAGCACTTTGACACGTGAGGAAACTGTTTGTGCATTTATTCCACCCCATGGAGATCTAATAATATCTATATCTATATATATATACGTGATGTAGCTGCTGCTCATTAGAGAGAAATCAACAGTAAAGCTGTTACTCTCCAACTACAGTCAGATTCTCTAACCGGTGCGTTTGTTAATGTATTTCTTTCTCAAACTCCACCAAATACAATTATATTAATTAATCACGACGTTTCGTGAAAATGAAATTGACAATGTGGGTAAATGTAGACCGTCATTCAGCCTGCTGTTTACATTATTTTGTCCACCTCTGAGCGTAATACGCTGTAATCTTTACAGCAGTTTACTGCTCATGCTGTCTAGAAGGATTAGTAGTCTTGTTAATCTTTACGTCTTCTATGGAAGAGCTGAAGACAAAAACAAGAAACAGATTCAAATATATATATATATAATACTTATATTTTAAAGTTTTAGTATAACACTCACATGGCCACATGCACATTAAAGCTGCTCCTTGTTGTTTCTAAACTAATAATCAGTCTAAGTGATGGAGGACAGATCTCTTCTGCAGCAGAATGGACCGGAGCAACGCGTCCTCAAACAAAGGTTCCTTTATTTCATTTTTTACCATGAATGTAAACGCAGCACAGAGATCACTTCTCCTCCTGCAGCTCCTCCAGCGATCAGGTAACACAACTACGTGAGCAGCGTTTACTGAAGTACGAAGGTTACGTAACAAACAAGTCAAAGTGGACGCGTACATCTGTCTCCTGGGTGAGAGGCTGGTGTTTTAGTTTTGCAGCTCTTTATTTTACGTCACCTGTGCTGGCTCATGATCACGTGGGTTATTTAGACATTATAGTACTTTACCTTTGGTATGTAGCTGCTAACCGTGTATGAAAAACAGCCTGACTGAGATACAACTAAAGACACCAACACTGCTTTAAATGTTCATGTTCTCACTGCCACAGAACAGCTGTCAATCAAACGGTGTGGGCGTCCTGTCAGTGTTCTTCTGTGGAGGTTTGGAGTTTGTTTTATCATTTCATGTCTAACTGCTGCTTCCACACATGCTGATGCTGAGCTTCAGAGGACTCCACCAGATCACTGGGCGCTGTATAGAGCTGTGATATTGAAACTGCCTCAGGTGATGGATGCAGAGGACCGGTTCGGACCAAAGCGCTCCACGGTGTCTCTCACCTGCGCTGGCTGGTCGCTGTGGTAACCCTGGCGACACGGTGTTCCTCTGCAGAGCCGGTTGCTGTGGCGACAGGAGGCGGGGGTCTGTGAGGCTGGAGGTGATGAAGGAGGTGGTGGTGACCAGGGCGCCGCCGGGGTTGTTGCTGAACTGGTTGGACACCGGCACGGTGACTGGCATGGAGAAGGTGGGCTGTGGGACTGTGGACTGGTGGAGACAGGAAGAAGGCGGGGCTTAGACGGCTGTGTTTACACACACACACACACACACACACACACACACACACACACACACACACACACACACACACAGCATGCAAGGTGACTTGGTGGAAAGGCCTTTCTCATCTCATGCCAGGTTAAGTCTCTTGTTGCAGCAGCGAGTTATTGCGTCGGTTATTGGTGACATTCCAGCTGCCCCCCCGCCCACTGACATGTGCTCATCACTGGGAGCGTTAGGAAACACCCTGCTGGGTGAGAGGTCGTCCTTCCTATGCTACGCTAAGGCCTAGCGCCTCCTCTAACATCTCTCCAGAGGAAACTAACTCTTCTTCTACTTCTGTTATTTTGTTACATGTGCTACCTCGGGACCTGAGTTGACCTCTAAGAGGAGATGAGCAGACAGCAAAAGAAGAAAATAAATAAATCAAGGGCAAGGACCTGTGGTGGTCCAGCCATCTGACCCATTTCACCCTGACCCATTTCACATGCTCTGAAAGAAGGCCTTCTATATTTAGAATGTGGGCCAGCACTGCGCTCAAAGAGCCGGAGACCCATTTTAACGCAGAGGAGGACGACAGCACCTTCCTGCCCTCGATCGCTGCCGCTTCCCTCCTGCCATGTTTGGTAACTTTTGTTATTCTCATTGGAGGGAGAGAGGAGTGAAAAGCATGTGAGGAATATGTTTGACATAAGGCCTTTACACACCGTGGGGCGGGAAGAATAAAAGACTTCCAGGATCCTGTTGATCCAGAGCAGCGTCAGGTTGAGTCCAGTGAAATGCAGTTCCCTCTGGTGAAAAGCTACGCAGTGCATATGACTAGGGCTTTTATTGTGAAAGGTAAGAGCTGAAGAAGTGGACCTGGTCTGCGATGCCTTTGTCGAGTTCTAAAGCAGTAATAACGTTCACCTTCTTGGTTCGTGAACTACAGAGAACATCTTTAATATCTTCGTTACGCACAACGTGATTGGTTGATCTATTTAACCTCAGAGAAATCAACTGGGTTCCGAAAAAAGAAGCCAATATCTGGCCGTGCAATGTTCCCGCTCATATAATATATTGACGTAACAATTAACCGCACCAGAAATACTGAAGGCCCTGAACACTTTATTTTAAGGGTGAAAAAAAAATCTGGATAATTTCGTAATAATCTAAAGATCTTTGTAATGTGGTCATAACTGTAGGAACAAAAATCTCAATTTAAAACCATCTACATGTTCATTTATTATTTAAATATTATTGGACAGTTTGAACTGTTGCATGTTCAGTTAACTTGCTCTGAGTTAAAGACTTCTTATATGAATGAATTAAATGGAACAGAAACAACTGAACACTGTCTCTAACTTCCCTAAAACTAGGACCAACTTCCTGGAAACCATTTGAAAATGTTGCTTCTGTAAAACGAAGCCCGGCTCCAACTTTTAATGTGATTTTATTGCTGAAGTCGGCAACGACTCTTCAAACTCTGTGAGGTTCAACATTCCCCCGTCAGAGCGTGGAGACGGAGCCGTTCGCTAACCGGGGCGGGTAGAGATAGCGGCTAACAGCACTGCACCACTGCACACTGGCCAAGCAGGGGGGGGGTAAAGGGGGGGGGGGGGGGGGGTAAACGGAGTGATGGATGAAATGGTGAAGGGTGAGTGCAGAGGGGACGGAGGTGTGTATCGACACCTGCAACATGTTTCACTATTTAGCTTTTTAATCCAGAGCGACTGACACACAGGAACAGCCTTCTGACCTCAAGTCAAGCGGTTATTGGAAAGTCTGATTGATTAATTAGATGAATATTAAATAGCAGCAGCAATACTAATACTAATAATACGCATGTTGAGTCAATTCTGACATCTTTTAGGCTAAATGTGACTGTTTATAGCAAAGAGAATAACTATGACGACGATATGAAAGTAAGAGGATTCATTGTGAGCAGCACCAGAACGTAAAGGAAGACGAGCATTTACAGAACATACATCTGAAGAGTTTAAGTAATAAAATAAAGCGTGACATTTGATGGTTGACTTTAAAGCGTTCTGGCTGCTGGCTCAATTATTTTCTGTTTTTCTCATTTTCTTATGTCGGCATCAATCTAATCTAATCACCAAACGTTGAAGTAAATGTTGAATAATCATCTTTCTTTTTGAGTGTTTTGGAATATAGACTATTTATTTCCTCCCTGTCCATCGCCAGTCTGTCACGGCCATAATGTGTTCTCGGCCACTTCTCCACAGGACCTCCGCGATGGAGCCGCAGCCTCCGGTTGCTAGGAGATCGGTGACATAACTCTTCTTCTCTAAATATGCATTTTAAACGTGTCCCGCTCACCCCGCTCTGCACCGGGCTCCGCTGAGCGTTAATCTGTGTTTCTGGCAAATTACAAGTGAATTTACATCCGACGCCTCCGACTCCGTTTAACACCGATGCTGCTAATAGCAGACAGGAGGGTTAATTGGGCCCTGCACGCCATCCTGCAGGTTTAACACAGAGGCCGAGAGCCTCAGGATGAAAAAAAAACAAGAAAACCTGTTAGGTAAATAATAAACTAGGAGCTTCAGCGGAGGCTCGTGTGAGGAGGACAAAAAGCTAACCTATCTTCCCCTCAGAGGAGCTCTGTGTTTTCTGGATTCAAGGGTAAATCAGAATGCATTTAACTCGTGGCCTACTTTCCCTTTCCCTCCCTCCCGTCCTGGAAGCCTTTGAAAGTTGTTTTTTTCCCCTCCGTCCTATTCCAACTTCACGATTGTCACATCCTGTTTGTTTAGCAGCTGTGGAACATAAAGAAACGTTCAGTTGACCGAAAGACGTCGCAGCAGCCGACCAGTGAATTAAGTTTTAGTTGTTGCCTCCCACTCGTATCTCCATCAGCTCCATCTTTCCTGATATTTGAATACAATAAGAAAGTAATTCATTCAAACAGTTTAATCTGCAGCTCCACACTAGATGTATTAAAAGGAACGCTGATGCTTCCAATGCTCAGGGGTCACCGGCACATCAACGCCTCACAGAATCACCTCGACCAGCGACCGTATCAGACTCACGGCCGTTAACGTTTACTGATGACAAACATGTTTTATTCTCCTCGCAGGAACCGTACAGTACTGAGAGTCTATTCAGGCGAATGGGTTAATACGAGGCTATTACATTCTACTGAGGCGGCGTTATTCACCCAGATATACTGAAGGTTGGCAGTGTGGTGCAGCCAGCCAATAATGTCATATCAGAGAAAGAAGGACATATTGCAGAAATAATAATTTAATGATGAGCTTCCCCCCATGCATGAATCTGCACCGCAAAATGTATGATTTGTCAGAATTGTTTGAGATTAAGTTGAATAAAAATTTGTATAGATTCCCCATTACTGTCGTAAAGGAGACCTGAGCTAAAGAACGGCGGCTCAATGTGTTTGTTCAGATATGAACGCCATCGCAGGAACAAAAGAAGGCGTGGCGTTTAACACGACAGCCTCGGAAACTACTTAGTTAAGGTTGAGGGAAAGATGGTGGTTTGGGTTAAAACAACTCCTGACGTGTTACTTAAGGACGGAAGTTACGTGACATAAAAATGACATTGATTTTGTTGATTTACACGGGACATGAACAGCGGTCTCCTGAGTGAAAGACCAGGTTTTGTTTGAGCCACACATCCCCCCCGTGTGTGTTGTTATGGTCTTTATACTTCCTGATTAAGTGGAACACGCACAAATGGATTTTGTTGGATATCTACAAACTACAGTGTCTTGACCTTTGTAGGTAAAGCTAAAGGAATGCTGTATGAGAAACAGCTTGATAACATCCTAAACAACAATGGCGGTACACTGAAGCTACCTTTCTGGCCCTTCTATTATTTGCCATTATATCTACATTACCGATGATTATTTATCTAAAAAGCGAAACATTTAAAGAAAGCACCAACAGTAAACCCTTCAATATCGAGGTATTTGGTCAAAATGATTGTGATATTTATTCTTGTCCACACCGGCCTGGAGGACAGAGTGTCAGAATTTATTACTTATTCATTGTGAGACCCCCAAAAAAGATGAAAACTAAAGCAGAAGTGATGAACTGTGCAGCTCCAGCAGCATTTTGTAGCTCCCCATTCACACTGAGCCTCTACAGGAGACATGCTGAGCTCTCTGCTGATGGCACCGTGGAGCTACTTGTGAAAGGAGAAAATCTATTTCTTATTCAATTTGCCGACCCAGAATCTCAGAGCCAGAACAGGATCAAACCACAGACCCTCCGGTTAAAAATAAAAAGCTCCTTTTTCCCTCTCCCCCTCTCTTCCACGGTGCCGGTGTAACAGGAACAGAAACGCTCGCTCGGGGGTTTCGTCTCGCCAAGAGTCCTGCCCGCTCTCCCTCGCCACGCTCCCCCTCACCTCAGGAGGTATTCTAGTACAAGTAGGATTAAGCTTGTATCTCCCGGCCCCTAGCTGTCATGCTGGGGATTATGATGGCTGAGGGGAGGAGTGGTGGGAGGTGATGTGTGCTTCCGTTCGCTGGTTGCCCTGTGTGAAAGGTGCGCTGTGCAGGCTGAGAGACTGAAGGCCAGGGTGGTGGTGGTGGTGGTGGGGGACGCTAGCAGTGTTCGGCTAACATCCCATCGCAGAGTGCCGAGAGCTGCTCTCCGGGGAGTTCAGTTACTAATAACATTAACAAAGCTTGTTATTAAAATGACCAAAATAACAGAAAAGAATATAAAAAGTGAATATGCGTTTACATGCACACTCACATTCCACCATTACTCCAAACATGAGAATATTCAGAAGTTGATATGGTTCATGTGAACATCCTATTGTCTGGATATTGTGAATCAGGCCTTATTCACGTGTGATATGTTGATATTATTCTGGTTTGAGGATCATTCTTTGTGAGCAGTGGCCTCAGGATATGAGTCTCAATAGAGGTTCTTACGTCTCTCTGCTGTTCACCAGCAGCTCTGTGAGTTCAACGTGAAGCAACGAGACAACAGAGAGTAAAGCTGCAGCAGAGATGATGTCCAGAGGAACAGAAGGAGAAACACTCCTCCTGTTCGACATCATGAAGGACTTTCATATCAACAGGTTGTCAGATATGAACACATATCTCTTAGAGAAGCTGTTTGAAGAATGAAAGAGGTCCAACAAGTCCTCCACCGGTAGAAAACTTAATGGCACGAGCGTCTGCTACTGTTTACACTTGTTAGATCATCGACCGGTCAAACAGCAGAGAACGGCGTTGAAGTGGGAGTCACTCTCCCCGCTGATGAGGATGAGGCACGGGGTCATTTTTACGTTAATCGGAATATGCACGACTGCACGTGAACGTGACTATTCATGTACCTTTTAGTCCAGCAGTCCCTGAAAAGACTACAAAGTGATGTGTCTCACCGCTCAAACACAGACTCTGATTACAGCCGGTGTGGTTTGATTGTGTCTCCAGATAAGTTACTAATGTATTAAGATGAAACTAAGACAATAAGACCCAGGATGTTAAAAAACCACCTGACACTAACCCTCACACATGCATGTTTTTCTCTCCTGCAGAGCCTCCGCATGACTATGTCCCGTCCTGAGCGACCAATCAGAGGAGCAGGTAGACAGGAAGAGGGGCAGTAAATTGAGCGCTACCCATTAAAGTGACACTAACGGTATTATCGAGCACGGAGGGAGGAGAAGAAAAAAAACAGAATCACAGAGAAATTGGCGGAGGAGTGGAGCAGTTAAAGAGGGGCTTGGCAGAGCGCCGGGCGGGAGGCAGAACCTGGATAATGTGGGGAGCACATCCAGCCTGCAGTGGGACTGAGGTGACCTGGTGACCCTGTGACCCTGTAGATGAGGACCAGTGGCTTCCTCTGCCTGCAGCACAGCAGACGTCTGCTGCACACACATAAGTGTCTGCAATTGCACGCTTGTTTCACGCTTGCTTGTTTTACACAATCCGTGCTCCAAACGTGTTGATTACCACCATTAGGCATGATCCCCCAGCCCCCCCTCGCAACGTCTGGTTGCCATGCCAACTTTTGTGAGGACTGGAGGACCTAGTTAGCGCTCCTCTTCCCTCTGTTGTTTGTTCTTGTACTTTACTGAACATGCAGAGGCATCTGAAGGCCCTGATCCCCCTGAGGATGCTCCTCCTGTGACGGCTGTGTTCAGGTGAATAATCACACCGAGTCACTCTGTTTGGTGTTATGCTGCTTTTTTCTCAGGATTTCTTATGCACACAAAGTTATACATAGTCCCCCCTTATTTAAATTAAAACAAGATATGAAATCTGTCAGGACAGGTTGAGTATTGCACACTGAAATGATTAGTCGCTTAATTAATAATCCTCTCCAGCTTCTAAAATATAAACTTCTGTTCTCTTTGTTGTGTTTGATAGAAACTGAATATCTTTGGGTTATGTTGGTTGGAATAAACGAGACATCTAAAGATGCCACCGTGAGCTCTGATGTGAATCATTTTCCTGACATTTTATAGACCAAACTTATGATATAATTCATCCGAATGATAAAATGATCTGCAGATTAACTGACGACGAGAGGAATCACGAGCTGCAGTCCTGTAGATTTAAACGTTTAACTGTAACTCAGTCAGCTCGGCCCCTACGTGCCCCGCTCAGTCACACACCGTCAGAGGGGGGTTGTGGGTAGTGATTTGGTGGGTGGGTGGGTGGTTGGGGGGAGGGGGGTGCTGTTGGTAAGAGGTGAGGTGGAGGGAGGTAGAGGGGGTGGGGGATGGTGGAGGCGAGTGCTCTGTGAGTAGTCAGGCCGCCATCAGCAGCCGGAGCACCTCCGGTTGTCAGCGGCAGCAGCAGGAGGGGGGGGGGCGGGTTACACAGAGGAGAGGGGGGGGGGGGGCGGTACTCACTGACAGCCTATAGTTCTGCATCATTTTATCAAACTCCTCGTCAATTTTTTTGTATTTCTCCTCAGTGCGGGGGGTGAGGGAGAAGGGCTCCTCGGGGTCTGGGCTCTCAGAGTCCCGGTGCTCTTTCTTGTTCAGAGCCTTCGTTTCCCCAAAACCAAAAGAAGAGGAGGAGGAGGAGGAGGAGGAGGAGGAGGAGGTAGATAGAGAGAGAAGAAGAAGGGTGGGTTAGATAAGGTGGCACAAAGTGTGACGGTACTCACGCCGTAGCGCTTGAAGAGGCTGTCCAGGTCCTCCGTCTTGCGGTACTTCTCCTCGTTTAGCGGGCTTTGATCGATGGAGTCGTCTCCGTCGGGCTCGGGGCTGTTGCAGCCGTTAAAGCCTTTCTTTCGCAACGTCTGAAGCGGCCAGAGAGAGAGGTAGAGGAGGAGAAGGAGGAGGAGGCACGTTTACATTTCAATTTTCATGCATGCACTTTTTTGGCTTGACCAACTTTTACCAAAAAAAAAAAAAAAAAGTAATTTTCCTTTCACACAAACGACCATAAAATAAACTGATGTAACTCGACTCCACATGGCCAACTATCCCACGTCTGAAGATATCTACAGGCCAATGTTGAATCATAGTCATAGCGCCACCTACTGGTAACAGGAAGTAACAGCCGCTATACTTTGGCTTGTTTCTCTTAACAAACCAGATCAAACTTCACTAGATTCCTCCCACACACCTGGAAGGTGTTCATTACGCCAGACCATGAAGCTTTTTCACCTTACCCCCCCTACAAACATTTTGACAACGCAGCCCTCGCAGTACGTTTCACCTCGACCTATGACATCTGGTAGGCACATGTATCACTTAGTGAAGCCATTTTCATCTCACACAAATACAAACGATTGTCCCGATTGCACCACAGCTGCTGACTCCGTTGCATGAAACTAAAAAAAGTCAGATGGAGCCGCTTGACCCCGGTTATGACGTACAAGGGCCGTGCAGAAAAAAAGACGTTCTCAACCTCTGATAACCTTCGATCGATTTCTGGTCAACGTCAGTAACGTCTGCCGCCCCCGTGAAAGCAAGCCATCACCACTGAATCACCCGGCGGGGGCTCTCGGGAAGTCCTGGATTAAGAAGGCTGAAGACACTACGGACTACTAGTCCAAAAGGAGAAAGCTCTGGAATAAAAAGATGTGACTGTATTGTATAAACCTGAGCTGCACGACACACTGAGGCGTCACACCTCCGAACACACGGGCTAATCAACAGTGTCGGTAATTGGTGTGAAGCTTTGACTCTGAGGAAAAGTGGCTGAGCGCAGCTAAAGGGTGACGGGGAGTTGGGCGAGGCACGCGGCTGTGTCAGCGCCGCGGCTAACGGCAGTCAGGTGGTGTCAGTGTTAGCGCGCTTTGGAAAGGGCGAGAAGAGGAGGAGGAGGAGGAGGAGAGAGAGAGCGATGGAGGCTCTTATTTTGAGAGGATTCTGCTAAACGAGATTTAGCGTTAAGTAGCTTTGCCTGGTGGGCCCCCTTGACCACACAGCCAAGCAGAGAGATCCTCGCTGCAAAACGGATCTTAAACTTCTGTGGTCCAGATACAAGTTTTAGCCCTGAGCGGCGTAAGAAGAAGAAGAAAATCCCTCGCCTTAAAATCTATCAGCGAAAGGAGAAATAGACCGTAGCACGCTGCACAAATCAAGTCCTTCATTCAGGTCATAAGACAAGCGAAGAAATCTGCCAGCGCAGAATAATATTACATCCTGTCCCCGGGAGAAATCATTGATCACTGCAATTGAATCAAGGAAAAATGTAACTTGATTTGAGGAATTAGTGAAACAAGTTGCAAGAATGGAACAGCACTGACAACATGAGGCTCAAAAAAAGGCCATAAAGTATATTTATAGATGTTTCTTTTGGTACATTTACTACAAATCATGTTTTTACATTCAGGAATTTGAAATGCATTTGTCTTCTTGCGGCTCTGGGTAGCTATTGACTTCCATTAATTTAGGTTAATCTCCTGTCAGACTCTTGGAACCAGCTGTAAATACAACATTGACGTATTATGACTTCATGAAGGCGTTGCCAACAGTAAACTAGGTTCACATCCTGAGCTACATTTACGTTGGTTTGGAGATGATGAATCCAATATTTGCTCTACTTTTAGCTCTGCTTTTGGTCTCCACCAACTCCTGAGGAAAAACAAATGGGGCTCATTGGTTGCTAGATGTTCCACGTTCTTCACCAGTGTGGAGTCTTTAATACAATGCTCCATTTGTCGTAAATCGTCATTTACCCAAAACAATTAGCTGTTAGAATAACATCACTCCTATTGATGTGAGTAGCTTCAACTAGCACAACTCAGGCCAGTTTGAAAAGTCAGCTTATTGATTTTCAGACCGTTTGGAAATCAATGGATGTCTAAAAATGGTAGGAAGAATACATAAAAAGTAGTGCTGGGCAAGTTAACACGTTAATTTCGCATTAACGCATTCATTAATTAACGCTGACAATTATTTTATCGCGCGTTAACGCATTTTTAAAATTTATTATTTTTCTCTTTTTTCTTTTCTTTTTTATTGAAAGACAAGAGACAATACATAGACATAACAACAAGAGGATGACAAGAACAGTGGGATAAAAGCCAGCAAACATCCTATAGTCAGTTGTGTATGTGTGTGTGTGAGTATGTCCTTGAGCCTTTTGAGATGGGGAAAAAATAATAATAATAAAACAACAAAAAAAACAAAAAAAAAACAGGTAAGTATTCAGACTGTCTCATGTTTATCGTTTTGTATTGGAGATATGATGTCCCTTCAGGGTTGCCGTAGAGAGAAGGCGACTTCCGCTTCTGGTCGGGGGGGCCCAGAAATAAAGAGAGAAGCTGCACCAGCTGTTGCTCTCCCTGGAGACTACTGGACATCGCTGCGGTAAAGTCAGCAGACACTCAGATCTCCGTGGTCAACTCAGCAGACACTTACATGTTAGTGCACCTATAGCTGAAATTCACGGTAAACACATTTAAACGGCACAGATAAGGAGCGAGCGAAGGACTTTAAAAGTTAGCGGAAAGATTAACGTGAGACAACATCCGGTTTCTTCAGACGAACATCCGGTTTTCAGAATAAGATGCCAACAAAGTATGAATTATATTCACATTAAGTGTAAAACATGCTACCTGCATCTGGTGAACCAAATGTTATTGCCCTTTTGTTCATATAGCAGTACTTTTAAAATAAAAGTGCGCAATACACTACTTTTGAATTCATTATTGAACTTTGCCATAACAATATAATAATATAATATAACATAACAATAACAAATATTTTAATCGTTGCCCAGCACTGATAAAAAGATCTAAAACGTGTGCATTCGAAAGTGATAAGAAAAAAATGTAGAGTACATAATTCATAGTTAAAACAAACTAAAATTATGGTTTGGTTCTTTAAGAGTTCAATTACAGACGGATATGATTTCGTATTTTCTACAGTGAATCACTTCATAAAATATCCATAAGTAACAAAATACTCTAAGATCATGTACAGTTCTTCACTCAGCCTATACTTTCTTTAATTAATTATGCTGTGTCAAGTGTGACTGCAGTCTAGTGGTGGTCTGATTAATACATAAGCACATGTTCCAAGACTCCCACTGCGAACAATCACTGCGAAGTGAGGATGATTCAACTACATGCAACTCAGCCTCGGAAGTGGAGCCGGAGGGAAACTTACGCTCACTGAAAAGCCCGAGGAGACGGAGGATCTTTTAATTCTGGAGGAATTAGCCTTAAATCCTCAGAAACAGGTGAGGCCAGGAGGGTAATGATGCCATTTGGATGTCAGTTCTAATAACAACAGAGCTCTTTGATATGAATCTCATTAAAACTGGAAGCCATTATTATTATTATTATTATTATTATTACCGCGGTGTCAGAGCGGCGTTTTATCTCCCCCCAGAAACGGGTTATTAGACAGATTTGTTCCAACACGGAGACAGTCGCCTGGTTCTGCTGTTCAGTCTCTCCGGCGCTCTGATCTGCAGCTTTAATGCAAATTTGAAATGCACGGGAGTCGCCGCCGCGCTTTGTTGTCCACAGTTCACAGAGAAACACACACCCGGCACCGGCTGACGGCGTGTGACTGTGCGTGTTCTGACCTAAAAAAAAAAAAAAAAAAAAAGAATAAAGGAACTATTGGAAAACTGAAATAAATAAAACGGCTTCAACATGACAATGACGGCATGTGAAAGAGGGCTGCAGGGAGGACGTGATCGAGGCGTGGACCCCCCCCCCCCCCCGCTGTGAGGACACAAAGAGATAAAACTAACAAACATTTACACCTGCATACTTGTGAGGACCATCAGTGACATCATTCTGGTCGTGGCCTCTCAACCATCATAATTACATGTCTGACCACAAGTCTAACCATAAACAAATCCTAAAAGATAGCTCCTGGTTTCATCTTCATACTTTTGGATGGGGCGCCATTTTGGAGAACGGAACATAAACATCCTGGGCTCCATCATATCCCAGGACCTCAAGTGGGAGCTTAACATCAGCTCCATCACCAAGAAGGCTCAGCAGAGGATGTACTTCCTGATGCAGCTGAAGAAATTCAACCTGCCAAAGACAATGATGGTGCACTTCTACAGAGCCATCGTTGAGTCCATCCTCTGCTCCTCCATCACGGTCTGGTACGCTGCAGCCACTGCCAAGGACAAGGGCAGACTGCAGCGCATCATTCGCTCTGCCGAGAGGGTGATTGGCTGCAATCTGCCGTCCCTCCAGGACTTGTTCACTTAAAGGACCCTGAAGCGATCAAGAAAGATTGTAGCCGACCCCTCTCACCCTGGACACAAACTGTTCATGCCCCTTTCTTTCTTTCTAAGCAGCTCAAGGATTGAGATCTCTCCTCTCAGGTAGGAGGTGAGGCCTCTGTTTACCTCTGTGGATGCTTCCTCTCAGCTAATCCTGGTCTACTGTCCAAACTCTGAAGACCACCTAAGACCTATCACATCCTGGGGGGTCCTAATCTGGATTAGACCAGGTCACTGGAAGGCCTTTCCTTACACACACACACACACCGTGAGTGACTGGTCAGTTTAGGTCAGCTGATCGCTCTCACTGAAACGGGTGAATTATTTACTTCATAATGTACTTAAACCGGGATCACCCTTCAATCTTAAAACCAAGTCTTAACTCCAATTCTATCGCCATACAAGAACACCGATATTGGATGTTTGTTTTTACACAGACGGCAACCTCCGGTTCTACCGAGTGAAGCCGATGCTTCGTGTCTTAAAGCTGCATTCTCTCTAGTGTCCATCAGGGGGCGACTCCTCTGGTTGTATAGAAGTCTATGAGAAAATGACTCAGTTTTATTACCTCAGTAAGCATTGTAAACATGA